CCTGCTCCAGCTCCTTGTGAGGCTGAGGAACAGCTCTCAGTAGCCATTGTGAGGCAAATGATGTTGTAGGCACTGATGTTAAAGTTCATCCATCTCCCCAGCCACTGCCGTGAAGCAAAACTACTGTAGTCAGAACAGTTCACTCATGGCCCATACCCAAAATCACAGGATTTTATGAGAAATAGCATGGTTGGTGGTTTCAGCCTTATTATGCCAATGAAAACAACAAATAGATTTTAGACATTAGCGGTAGGCTCCTGACGGGTTTTCAAGCAAAGATCTGAGGAATTCCAGTCCAAAGAGTTTCCCTAGCTTGTTTTGTCTCATCTCAGCATTTTTCTTTCATGCCTGCTCTCAGAAACACCAGTGGCAGGGCTCACCCTTTACCTGGAGAGCTTCAGAACCTAGAAGTACAAATTACTCCTCTGCACATCACCCTTTGACTACCACCTGCTCCATAAGTGAGGATCCAAATCAGGTTATTTCAGCATTAGTAACAGATTAAGAAGAAAAGACCTCCCTTTCCCAAGCTCTAGGTAAACCCCACATCACTGGGATTCAGTGAGCTCCAAACAGCAGTAACACTCATGCTATCTTAGCAGGGTTTCAGATTTGATGGCCTAATTCCTGTTCTCAGCATTAAACTCATTTAAGTGATGTAATTCTGCCACTGACAAATCACCCCAAATGAAAAGCCAGATAATGAGATTCTGCAGATTAGGTCCAGGTTTCTCATTAAAAAGACTAAGTAGAAACCCATTGGAATCCTCCTTATTTCAGAAGGCAGACGAGGTGAGACAGAGTTAGCACAGCTACACCAAGCAGTGAGGCTGGGGGTAGGATAACACTCAGACACAAAAGTGTCAGTCTTGTTGAGTTTGTGTCCATTTTGGTTTGGACTCATCCTTACACCACGACTTGCTGCATATGGAATAACACAGGTACGTGCAAGTGATTGGAGAGCGGGTATTTCTCAAGCGTGAGAGGGTCAGGCCCTCAATTCTTATGGAATTGTGGCCAGAGGCAGCACCTCCCTCCATTAAACACTGGAAACACAAGCCAAGGGAGAGTACTAAACTAATGCTTTCCCACAGAAAGGCTTGAGGAATGTGTGGAGCAATCCCAGCTGGGCGACTCAAATCCCAACTGACCGTTAGTCTGAATTTTCCTCCCAATTCACACGTACATAGAGATGTCACCTCTTTGGAAAAAAACACCAACTTCAGCAGCCAGTGATCAGTTTCCATTCTGTGGAGAACAGGAGCATGCTGCCTTCCTCAGTCTCCTCTGGGCCCCAGGAATCTTTCCCTTATTCCTACACACAGCAACACTTTCAACAGGCAAGACCAGAAGACATTTCCATTTGGGTTTGTGGGCTTTGGGAAAGTAAATGCATTGCTAAAAATGCATGTCAATCAGAGGAGTGGCTGTGACAATGAGAACCAACGGGCAAAGTTAAAAATCTGGAAGTGGTATCCCAAGCTGACAGAAGGGGAATCACATCTGCTCAGTAAAGTTTGCAGCTATTTTTGTGTGGCTTTGCTTAAGCTAAACGATGGCTGAATCCACATGTTTATCCTGGCTTTGCTCTGCAGTCAAGTTTCCTATTTCCACAGGAGAAGCTCTGCTCAGCTCACCATTAATATTTGTCCTGGAATTTCAGCAAAAAGCCCTTGAACTCCCAAGTGCTGTCTCTGATGCAGAAAGAACTCAGCAATTTGTTAGTGTTTATGCATTCTTAAGAAAATGTTACAAATATTTTCCTAATGTTAACAATCCTGTGTGTTTCTTGGAGAATTATTTCAGCTAAAATTATTGCATAAAAAATCAAAGTAGGATTGAAATTGGTCAAGATGAAGAACAAGGGATGGGACCACCTTGCTTTGAGATGATTTATTGCTCAAGTAGCCAGATAAGATGTCAGTTTGAAGGTGTCAGATTTAGAGGAGCAACAAGTCAGCCATAGCTCAAGGTAGTCACAGGTTTTTTCTCCACACAGCAATATGTAACCTTTTGGTCCAATAGGCAGTTGACATGAGACTTGTGTAAGTCAGATTATTACAGCTCAAACTTCACACTATTTTACCTAATATAATTTCTTACCTACTCTAGGCATATTCTTACTTATAACTACAGAGACATAAGTTTATAATTTTTCTACCCAGTGTCTGTGTACCTTCATCATTACATTAACCCAAGCTCCTTCCAAGGCTGCAGACTGAACCCTTCAGCATCTGTGGAAGCTTCCATTTTTCTGTTTCCCACAGATCACTTTTATTTAAGTTTTAATAGATCACTTCTGTTCAAATTTTCTATAATTTTACAAATATCTCAATACAGTTAAGATGCTGTAAACATTTGCTAAAAGTGACTATTTTTTTTGCCTGTGGCTCCACTTGTTTTTCTTATTTTATCTCTTTTTTTACTTTCAGTGCACAATTACAGTGCTGCCACGAGTTTTCACTTAACCATCAACTAATGCAGCAATTTAGTTATGGAGTTTAATTCTACCATGTACACTCCAAGTGTAAATATTTATTTAAACATGGGGATAATTTTAAACAGAGCTAGTCCAGAATAAAAGCTACTTATTTTAAAATATCTGACAGATTAAACTTCTAGGCAATGTTTACACATCCTGAGAGTGCTGTGTGG